GTCAAATAGCAAATAGCTAGCTTCCCAGTAGATGATGTGTGGTGAGTTAATAATGGCTTTTCCAAAGATATACTCCCTCCATTTAAAAATATAAGGTATTTTTTTAAAAGGTTGGATGTTAAAAAATGTAAGATATTTTAATCTTTCGAAATATAATCATTACCTTTTTAAAAAAGTAACTTTGTTGAATAAATCACTTTATATTTATTTTAGGGTGAAATACCCTATTAAATGGGGGTAAATATAAAATAACAAAATTAATTTGAAAATAAATAATTAGGGATGAGATTCGATCAAAAATATTCTATATTTTTTAATTGAGGGAGTATATCCTTTTGTTGCACTCATTAATTATTAATCAATGTATATCTTGAGAAATTTGATAGTAGAATTGTATATTACCGCTATCACCTAGACTAATTTAGTCCTTTGTTATCAATGTAACCTCATAGATATGTCGGGAGTGTTGACATTCTTATTTAATGGGATAACATATCACAAGAATCGAATGCAAGATTTCAGAATAAGTTAATTTAATTTTCTTGACTAGTTATTAAGGGTCTCACAATAACAATAGTATATAACTTGATTAAATCAAAAGAATGCATTCCTTCCTCATGTCCACAATACACATGACACTTTCAAGTTTCAACCTGTATCATGCATTTGATGATGAAAATGAAAATTATTTTTTTAAAATATCATAAAAATTATTTATTATTTTATTTTTACCCTTATCTACAGTTAATCCTGGCCACGAATATTTTCCATGCATAATTACTCTACCTACATTTACCAGCAGATGATTGAAAAATAAAAAGATATTTTTAAAACTACAAAATATTCTACATTTTGAACTAACAATCGCTTATAAAAAATGTCTTATATTTTATATAGTCGGAACTGGGGTTTCTATACATCAATTGATCTGCGTGTGAGTGAGAGTGAGAGAGAGAGAGAGAGAGAGAGAGCAAAGAGCTGAGTCAGCTCTGGTTAGGACTTGGATGGCCGTATAATACTTGAGGTTTTAAAACAATAGCTAGTACTTCACGATTGTCCTTTGCACTAACTTTAAAGAACCTCAAAAAATTAATATTTAAAGAAATGGTGTCTTTATTCTTTTCTAAGCCTTAATCGTAGTTCTGGCGATGCACAGTGAGAGATCGAGGTAGGTTTCTGTTTGAGCCCTTCCTCTGCTCTATATATATAGCAATTAGAACAGAGTTAATTTGATGAGGTTCTCAAATGTTGCTTACAGCTGGTATATCACATTTTGACCGTTATAACTCGTGCTCTCGTACTTTAGAATGCATTATATATGTTACTTTCAGGGAACAGCCTAACCTTCCACGCACCTTCTCTGTCCCTTCATCTCTTATTTTATTTGCTTACTGTTTACAGCTCTATTTTTAGAAGGATCATTCATCCATCCACGATTCACCAGCATTCGGATTGCCTCACTGCTCTTTTGTTATAGTTGGTTTGTCTAATCAAAAAAGTCTATATAGCCTTAATTATTTGTTCTCTAATTATGACTTTAATTATATATAGTCAAAATTAGGATTCAAAAGGTAGTGGAATGAGTTTAAATTGTAACCTCTAATTAATTTATACCATCCAAGCAGGCTATATTTGCTCATTAACAGATCTACTTGAAACTATGTTTTTTTTTCAAGTGTTTTTTACATTTATACGAACTTGAAATCGAGATCTTATAGCTAACCCCTTTTACCAGCTTGGACCAACTCTTGTTAATTAATTTATATATCTATACAAATACATCTTATGATGACGCACACGAACTCAGAAACACACACATTACTGATGTGACGAGCTGCGTCAGTGTCGGATAAGGTAGGATTTAAAGTTATAAAGAACAGTTGAGTTGAGGGTGAGATGAATGCTGGCCAAACCTGGCCTTAATTGATGTAGGGTAGGATTTAAAGTTCATATTAACAGCAATACTGATGACTTTGTATTGGTAAATTAATTAGGTTGATTCATCAAAAGAGTGGGTTTAGTTCCAAACGTTTTCAAATATGGGGTTGGTATTTAGTGGAAGCTACAAACGTCATTATTCTCATTATGAAATATCAAGGCTTAGCTCTACCTTCCACTCATGTTCTTGTCTATTTTATATATATAACAATCCCTAGCTTTTATATTATAGGTTTTTTCCTCACAATCTTTAATTTAAGATCCTTTGTTTAAAATATTTTTCCCCAAATGTCCTTGGTTTTAATATTTCTTTCAACTAACTGAACAACCTTCTAACTTAAAAAATAACACTGTCTTCTAGTCAATGGATTTCATTAAAGGTAATTTTAAAAATATTAGATAATTTTAATTGAGTTCTTTAACCCATATAAAATTGTTAAGGGTCTTTACAATAAGAACTGCTATACGTATTTTGTACCCATGTATGTTTTAATGAAGGCATAAGCTCTTTGTCAGGCTCGCCAACATGGGGTTGTGACAAGATTTTAGGAAAATTTTTCGAGGGGCACCTTATATTTTAAATTTTTTTTAAAGCATTGAGAAATTGCAATAAATCTAAGGAGGTTTGAAAAAAACTAATTAAATAATCTAAATTTAATACTTTCTTTTCTCTTTCTTTATAGGAATGGATAATTTGAAATGTAGATAATAATGCAAGCAATGCATGTATAAAGAAAACCTCTTGACAGAGACTTTATGGTCACGTGTTCAAGAACATTTGGGAAGAAAGATACAAAAATATATATTTTGAAGAAGATGTTGAGGACAAAGACATTGCTTTCATCAACATTCAGGATATACTCAAGGATCAACATATTCACTCCAAAATTAACTTCTTATCTTAAAAAAGCAATAGAGCAGCAGCTAAATGGCCCTCCCCCTGTGAAGGATGGATTAGGTTGAATGCTGATGATTTCATCAATAGTCATGGTGCAGCTACTTGTGGCGGTTTTATTTGAAATAACCAAGGCAATTAAATTAAGAGATTCTCCAAATACCTTAGATATTATCCAAGCACAGCAATTGAGCTTATGGACATTTTGAAATGATTAAACGTTTGCTAGGCTAAAAATTTTAATAAAGTTAATGTCTACTCTGACTCTACTGAAGTTATCTCGTTACTTCATAGTGAGTTCTCTGCTAATCACCTACTTTTCGAAACTATCAACAAAATCAGAGACCTTATCATGCAAAATTGGACAATCACGTTTGATCGTATTTTCAGGGAGGCAAAGAAATGTGTGAACTGATTATCTCATTAAGACCTTATCTATAATTTATATGTTTGTATTTTTGATATCCCACTACTTGATTGCTGTAATTTTTTGTACGCTGATAAGGAACCAAAGGCAATATAATAGGCTGACGAGGAGGAGGGCAGGTTGTTGGAGGACCGAGAAGGAGATGGGATGGGATAGAAGAATGAACAAGAATGAGGAAGAAGAAGAAGAATCATTCCGCATATGACACATGTCACTCTTTTAATCAAATGAAACTTTCATCCTATGATTGTATAGAGTCTCCAAGTATAGTATTAATATTTAGTCTCACCTTTTCTTCGTGCAAGCGTGGGCCAGTGACATATAAACTTGTGTGATATCTGATCACAAATAGCTACCCTTAATTTAATTTCAATCTACACAAATTAAGCAGCACTCAGTTTTTTTCAGCTAGCTTCTTCCTAAATTACTACTCCTTCGGGTCCTTTTAAAAAAAAACAAAATATGTATATGTAAGTTTAGGTGAGTTGAGTTTTAAATGTTCTCTAAAATTAAGACATGTCTCTCAATTTAAAGAGAGCTTATAGAAATATTTATAAAGCACCTATTAAAAAAGTTCTCAAATCAATGGTGAGATTTGAATCTTCAACCTTTCAATCCTTATTATAAAACACTTTTTAGAAGAGATTTATGGTTTTTAATATAGAGCTTAATGAGGCATTAATTTCATTTTCCAATATGACTCTTATTTAAATTTGTTCATTTTGAGAGAGAATGTTGTGCAAATTTAAATTTTTTATTTAATCATAGGTAAAATTGAAATTTTATTATTTTTCAAGCAAAGTCAATGATTTAATTGCATTCATTCATTCAGGTGAAGTGATTAGGGATGCTTTATAATAGAGACCATGAGGTGCATCTAATTAATCCTATTTGCATTTTCACATTCCTCAGCCAGCCTCAAAATTAGAAGACAGAGTCAACATTCTTGTATCCACCCTTTCCTGTTTAGGTTTCCATATTTTTTTTTATTATACTTTGTTCATTGTTAATATTTGATGCTTCTACAGTGACTAAACTCAATTTCTCTGCTTTGGCGCGCGCGCGCACACATATATAATGCCTAAACTTTGTTGATTTGTCATGAATAAATTGGTTTCCATTTAAGTTCTCTCTTGCATGGTTATGTTTTGACATATGTGTAAGTATAAAAGGAGAATGCGGTGTTTAAAGTAAAAATATTAAAATTATAAGATAGATTTTCAATCCCACCCAATTTAGACTTGTCATTCTTACCAAAAAAGAAAAGAAAAGAATATGCAATACTTATTAACTATTCTCATAAATCATAATTACTTAGAAATTGTATTTTTTATTATCTTTCTTCTTTTATTTAAATTAAAAAATATTTTATTTCATTTTATCTTTGTTTTACTTCATTATGTAAACAAGCCTTTCTGATTTAGTTAGCTCCTTCGCCTATTTGAGTTGTTAGGACCAAACTGGCTTATCCACACTTGGGGTCTAAAATACTAAGATCATATGGGCTTGGCCCCTGTTGTGTAGGCCTAAATATATACGGTATTCGAACCCAAGAAGAACCCGTCAGGCAGAAAAAAATCCAAGATGAATCCCATGTGGAACTTCGTTGGATCTCGGAAGCCCATCAGGCCCACAGCCATGTAGGATCTGAACATCCACGTGGCGAGTCCCAAAAGCGCGTGCCCTTCACATGCTCTGACTTGGACTTCCTCACCCTCTTCCCTCGGCGACGCCGGGGCATGGCATGCCCCGGGAATGGGCATCCGTGCCTACAATGTTCGTTGAGAACAATCACAACTAAAATAAACACTAAATTTCTGCAAATGACAGTGATCAAGCAGAGCAAAAAAAAAAAAAAGAAATTCCAATAGACCCTTCACTATCAGCCCCGATTCATTCCTTCATCTTGTCTTCTCCATCTTCTCCGTCTTCGTCCCCGAAGTCCTGGTCCTCAGGAATTGTACGCAGCCGTTCGAATAAGTCAGATAGCTCTAGAATGGGGACTGATTCCGCCACCGTTGCTACGGGTGATTACCGTAGCCCCGTCGTTCGAAAACATCAATTCCGAGGGGTTCTATTCAAGTATGGTCCAAATGCTATCCAGGTTTGTCAAACTTTTCCATATTACCGGTGAATCGAATTGCCAAGCACCGACCCAGATCCTTGGTTTATTGATGTCGGCACTTAATTTTTAATCCGATCACTTACTTACATCACGTCCAGGAATTTGGAGGGCTCCTTTCCCTGTTTTCTCACGGACCATACTATCTTAACTGTATCACTAGCCGGTAAAAGAAAATTTTAAATGATCGAAAGTGGAATCAAAGCTGTTACCCAACCGTGTCGTTAGTTGGTGATTTTATTCATTCATGCTACCAACTTCAAAACAAATTTTTATTCCCATAAAAATAACAGACAGCATAAATAGTTGTACACAACTTTTTTTTTTTAGAACATATATTATATTGTATTTTATTTTATTTTTTGCATGGATGAAGAGGGAATAACAGTTAATGAACTTTTTATAAAAAAGGGAATGAACTTTTAAATTTTTTAAAAATATGTTTATAATCACAAATGATGAAAATATTATAAACTTATTGTCATATTTGAAAAAAACTACTAAAGGATGTTTTTGGAAATTAATGTGTTTGTATACTTACAATAACAGGGGTTCGATATCGTAATTCTTATTTCACATCATGGCACGGCATCGCATATCATAGTATGTTAGATGCGATAATATCTAAGTCATTGGTCACCTTTGGTTTAATTAATTTAAGAATGCATGCGTGCTTGGTATAAAATGTTTGAAATTTGTTAACCGGGGAAATATACAAAAACTTGCGTGTTAACATTTTGTCAAAAGTATTATGAGTTTTAGCTTTTTCTATCTGGTCTTACAAATTTCATTAAGATGTTTTCTAACTTGGTTTAATTACTTGAGCAAAAGCATTTGCATGGTAGAGCTCGAAACCTTGTTTGTTGAGGACTACTATCATTATCATGGCGTGTTTTGCTTTTTTGCATTTTCTTTCTGGGTGTCCCGCTATCTCATAGTTCGTTTTATTTTTCAGGTTGCATTTAGGACCGGTGACCACAAACGTCAAGTCATTTTTATTGGTGGATTAACCAATGGTTTTCTTGCTACTTCGTAGGTTTGATACTTTCTAATTTCCTCCATCCAGTCAGTGTTTTTATTTCCCGGAGGTTCTCTATATGAGCATGAGTTTAGATCTTCTGTACCATATATTTTGACTGTTAACTTCTTCAATCAACTCATATAAGATCCATTATTTTCCAATTTTAATTCTAACTGATATCCCCGAATGGACAATATCCATTCTTTTGAGTACATGCCTTTGTTGGAAACACACATTTGAAGAGTTTTCTCTTTGACATCCGTTTTCTTAACTTACCTGCAGATATTTAGAACCTCTGGCAGTGGCTCTAGACCGTGAAAATTGGTCGGTTATTCAGTTTCTTATGTCATCTTCATATAGTGGATATGGCACCTCCGGCTTGCAACAAGTAAACAATCAAATCTTTATCCTTACTGTTTCTCTTGTAATGTTGTGTTGGAAGACGATCTGATGAAAATAATCAGGCTTATCTATTCTATTTACAATGAGCCCAAACTTCTGTCCTACTACATGTAGCTCATCTTGATATTATAACGTCCAAGCTAAGAAAAATATTTACAGTTAGTTTTAAAATAATAATGTTTACTTCGAAGTATGTAGAGAATTTATTTTTTTGGGCTTTCTGTTAGAGTATAAATTGTTTTTGTGAAAGCATGACCTTGTAGGGAGCGATATAAAGAAAGGGTCGGATGTGGTACACAATTGAAAAAAAAGCAAAAAAGAAACTTCAAAAGTTAACATCCTTGGATTTTTCATTCTTTTTTTCCTTCTTATTTTAAATTATTCTACCACCAAATAGGTGATCATTACTTCAATTAAATTTGTCATATTTGGTGTAGGCAATAACCTGCTATGTCTGAGAGTTGAATTGACATGTTTAAAAACAGTTGGATAAACTATCGTTTTATGTCAAGCAATTGTGGAAATAGGAAAACAGATTATGCACTCAAACTTGACCAAGATTTTTCCAACTATGACAGTTGGTCTTGAGTCCAGGTGGGACTTCCTGACTCCTTAGACAATTTAAAATTTTAGTTCTGGTGATTTAAATTGGTGAAACCTGCAGTTGATGAATAAATTTACACAGAGCACAATCACAATTATCTCTTGGTTGCCTGCAGTGTAAGTTTATGTGGATAGGCTATAGCTGGCATTATATGGTTATTCTAAAAGCATTGAGTAGCTTCGGCTTTATGTGGATAGGCTTTATTATTCTGGGCACGAAGAAAATAGGTAATGCGGTGAAAATTTTGGTTAACATTTTCATGCTTTGCTTAAGATAAGGGCTTGTAACGATGGTTGTGTTAGCAAGCATTTTACTAATGTATTTGCGTTGGTTGATTGTCTTGTTACAACAACAACAACAAGAATGCTGGTTGATTGTCTTATTAGCAGACAAAATTAGAATGTTGAAGACTTGAAGTAGTAAAGTGTCATTGATGGCCTAATATCTTGAATCTTGATGGTTGGGTTCTAAAATGTCTTTTGACTACACGTTGAAGGATGCTAAGGAGTTGGATCTGCTAATTAATTATTTAATTGACGTAGAAGATTCTGAAGGCGTGATACTGCTTGGACATAGTACCTGCTGTCAGGTCATTGATTATTGCTTTTGAATCCTGAGTTATACTTTTATTCCACTTTCTCAGAGTTTCTCCATTTTTCCCCCTCTTTGGTGAAGTGGAGGGAAATGGAGGGGGAAAAAGGAAGAGAACCCTCTCCCTTCTTACCAGCAAGTGAATTATTCCTTCGTATTTTTTTTTTAAACATATATAGGATGCCATTTATTACATGAGTACAAATGCTGCTTGCAGCCGAGCTGTTCATGCCGCTATCTTTCAGGTATTCGCTTACTAATAATAGATCCTTTCTGAATTATATTTCTCTGTAAAGTTTTATTATAATGCCTGTCTTCCCTTAATTTGAGGCCTGATCTCAATGCATCATGATTATAGGACTTGTATGATCAAATTTGGCAGTTTAAAATTAAAATCTTCAAATATTGTCCAGTTTTTGTGCAGCAAGATGGGTCAGTTCACCTGAAACGTTGCAATTCTTTAAGTATATTGATCAAAGAAAAAATATTCTTCCTTAGAGTATGTTTTTAAATTAAGCTAAGAGTTAAAGAAGTATGAATAATCTGTATTCATTTCAATACTTATAACTTAAACAACAATAAGTGCCTGACAGAGTTTCAGAGTACTTTTTGGAACTTCAGATTTCTCCAGTACATGGCATGACATCTACTAAAACACTGAATGATCTATCGGAGTTCTTATTTTGTGCACGTATATTGAGGGTTGCCATATTTTCCATGTAATTTCTATATGCAGTTTGAAAGAAGACCCAAATGTTATGGACTTGTAGTATGGTCCTTTGGCCTTTGTGATTCCTCCAGGGACTATAGTCCTTTGGCTTTAGTAATTCCTCTGGGGCTGATGGAACCTTTATGTGATTAATTAACATTGTATCTAAGTCACATGCATATACATGTGGTTCAGTTGCTACCAATGTTAGTTGCATAGCTTATTACGTTCCTTGGCAATGCCATGCTATTACCTCGGTCTTTCACTGAAAGCTTTCTTTACTACGCCCATCTAAACATTCAGGCTCCAGTCAGTGACAAGGAATATCAAGCTGCTCTTCCTCATGCTGCTTCTATGACTGAATTGGCTGCTAAAATGATAAGTGAAGGCCGAAGTTCAGAGTTAATGCCGAGGGATGCTGATCCTAATAGCCCAATAACTGCCCACAGGCGAGTTTATTTGAACCGAAATAAGCCTCAATTGTGACTGGGCTAATCAGCTACATGATTTCTGTAATGGTTCTCTAAGCATAACTCTTTGTCCCTGTTCGTTCTTTCTCATCCTTCTCTCCATCAATTTCTCTTGTTTCACCATGGTGAGCAACGTTGCTTGCACATCGTTGTTTGTGCCCGACAACAGCCATCGGCAAACATCTGAGAGATTAAATGGATGCCGCAGAAAAGGTTGTAGTATTCTCATGCTATTAGTCCATTTTTGAAGAACCCTTTTTTTGCAGGTATAACTCACTTTGTTCATATAATGGAGATGATGACATGTTCAGCTCTGACCTGAGTGATGAGCAGTTGAAGACGAGACTTGGGCACATGTCTTGCACGCAGTGCCAGGCAAGGATATCTTCTTGTCACATAGTCCCTTTTTGTTTGCGTTGTTAAGATCTAAAAATTGTAAGCCGTTGGTTTAATTGGATCTTCGGCTGAAAGCATTTGCGGCAATCTTGATCACTTGCTAGATTTAAAGTTAAAATAGAAGGGGCACCGCAATTTTCTTCCTGAATTTTCAGTTGACAACATTGAGATCTGAGAGCCATAAATAGAAGGTTAAGAATTTTTCTTATAGAGTCATGAATAGTGCTCCCCATTATGGGCCTGAATGGTATTCCGAAATTAGCATAATTGAATGTTTCCTTCTTAAGTAAAATGAGGCTGCCTTGAGCCTTGGCTCGGTGCTTGTGAAAAGAAGGATAAATCTAGTACTAACTTAGGCAAACGAGTTATGAAAAGCAGGTAGAAAAGTGAGGGAGTTGTCATTTTGATATACCTCTTCTCTTTGCAGGTTATATTTTCAATGTCGGATGAAAATGTGCCAGACAATGTTGATAAGAAATTACTGGTGGAGCGGTAAATTTATACTCTTATTCTGATGATGTTTTTTTGGTTCTTGTTGCAATAGCTATGAAGAAAGAGGAGGAGCGATAATGGGTCATTTCCAGTTTTTAGTTCGTGGGTATGGAGGGGGGATTAAGATAGAGATGAATGGGAGGTATGAGTGCTGATTGAAAAACATGCAGATTATGCAGGGCAATGGGAGGAGCAGAGAAAGTAGAGATTGAGAATGGGAATCATTCGCTGTCTAATAGAGTTGAAGAAGCTTCCAATGCTATTATTGACTTCATCAAGAGGGAGGGGCCTAAGGGCTGGGACGATCCATGGACATAATCTAGTTGCTCGTCACTCTTCATCACAGAGAATAACAGGGAACGTGTCTGGGAAATAAGTGCTTTCACATCAAAAGGAATTTTTGGTGCAAGTCATCCCTTTTAATTGCTCACTGAATGGTGAATCGCCAGTCACGGTTCATTTGTTTTTAAAGACAAGCCCGGGGATCTAAAATCGTAGGAGGGAAGCAACCTAAGCAACAGCAGTAGGCAGGCAGGGCACATTCCTTTGGTTGGTCCTGAACCAAATTGTGTGCCTGTGCAGAAAAGAATTATATGAAGATGAGTTGTACTGTTTTGGTTTATAGTAATCTGACTTTTTTCTATGAATTTGGATATTATATATAGATCGTGCGATGTTGACATCAGAAACAAAATTGGAATTTGGAAGATGGCAGCTGAGGGGTGATGTGTTGGGGTTGCTGATTTCCACCATGCTAAAAACCTTGATTAAATTACTTTTAAGCCTCACAAAACATTCAAAAATATCCTGAAATTTATTGATAACTTGAATTGCTGTCCAACTTTTGATTAAATTAGAGATGAGGAATGAATATTGTGGAGGAGAATTGGAGAACTCAAAAGCAGGGGCATCTATGCATGTGCTGGTGCAGACTCTCTGTCCCTTGCCAATGCTATCCACGTATACATGTCATTGTCAAGCCGTGTTATTAACTTATTATTCAGTAAACGAACCATTGGTTTTATATGTTAGTGGATTAAGAGGCATCAACGAGTGCATGTGAATGGTGATGTTATGTGAGTTGTTGCCCCTAATTAAGATTGGTGTCTCATTCACATCACATGAATCCTAGTAGTAGCATCCGTTTGTCCCTCTCTCAATCCTCTTCACGCCTGTTCCCTATTTTAATTAACCTTAATTATTCTTCATGCGTGGCTGCCTATATTCAACAACATGGACTCTATCAAACATAATTAAAAAAGGAATTAGTTTTTATTGTCGTCGATGAATTGTGTTTTTATTGATAGAATGTTTTTGCGTTATTTTTTCTACATTCAATAATATTTTTTAAACAGTCTTTTCTTTAAATATAATTCAATCAAGTTACAATTATACAAATATAGAAAAAATCAACGCCTAAGTTAATTTTAAAATATGTACTCTACTTAAAAATTAATGATTATTAAAATTAAATAATAATTATCAAAGTTTTAAAACATTTATAAAAGTCATACCCATTCTAGCAATTATACACTTAAAAGTAATTTTTATAAATAATATCTTAATATATTCAATTGAAATTAAAATTACTTTAAAAAATTTACGATTATCTAAAATCTCAATGGTCCAATTTTAGTCCAAATATGTGCTTAATAAAACTTTATCACTCTTAGCATGTTTGGATTAACTTCTAATCTCAGTTAGAATGAACCAAACTGAAGTTAGGATATAAAAAGGTTAAAAAATATTGTTTGGATTGACAAAAATTATCAACCTTAATTAGAGCTAAAGGGAGTTTTTTGAGAAGCCATTAGGGTTGGCTTTTTTCTCAGTATTGTGTTGATCAACTAACCGTTGGAAGCATTGATTACTTTTAAAAATTGTATGCTTTCTCTCTCTTCTCATTTATCTCCCACCACGAGTTTTGCTTTTTGTCCTTGTGCGTGTTTTCTTTCTCCCGTGACCACCCAAGCTCTAAGTTTTCTAGATCTGCTTCACCTTCCCTTGCTTATAAGTAGCACTGTCCAAGTTACTTTTTATTCTCTCTCTTCGTTATTTGCTATCTCTTGAGCCCATGGTCCCAAGCCTTCTCTTCTTCATTGCTGTCGCCCATAGTTGCTCTGGCTCACCCTTTACTCTCCTAAGTGTACTAGATTTGACGAGAGATCACAATTGTCGCCACCCCCATCGTCGAGACCCAATCTCCACTATGTCTGTTGCTTACACAGATGCACCCATGAGATGTAAACCCATGACGATGGACAAGGATGAAAATGACGGGAAAAGATCTAAACACAAATACAACCACATGGACTAAAGAACCATAGTCAAGCCAGCATTTTCAATCGCAAAAGTAAAGAGCTCGAATGGTGAACTCATACCTCTCACGTTAGTGGCCAACTGAGAACAAAGAAGGAAGGAGAAAAAAAAAAGTTAGAGATGGCAAAGTGTTCTTAGCAAACTTTTTGTCTCTAGCGTTTTTGTGATTGAAGAGGAAAGATGGAAAAAAATCTGATCAAGGTAGGGGCATAATTGTAATTTCATGTAGTTGAAAAAATAAATCAAATGAAATGAAATAAAACGAGACTCAAATACAAGACACATAGGTTATTAAAATGTCCCACCATCAATTTTTTAATTTTAAATAAATTCTAGGTCATTACATTTAGAGTATGGAAGAATATGTTCGCAATTATATAAAAAATGTTCACATTTAGGTTTACAAAAAATTATTCATAATATAATTAGAGATTAACTTGCACATTATATCAATTGAATATTTTGTAATTTATAAATTTATTGTAGCTTTGACAATTGAATATTGAATATTTTTTACTTAATAATTATAATTTAATTTTATTATTTTTTACTTATTAACTAATCAAAAATATATATAAAAAATTATGTTTGTTTTTGTTATTAAAAATTTTAAACTAACTTTTGACTCAAATCATCCAAACAAATTTCAGTTTATCCAACTAACTTCTGAAAAAAAATATTCAAATATAAATCATGTTACATTAATTAACTTTTTTTTAACATTAATTTACTAATTTTAGTTGAATCTTAATCTCAGTTGTAAATTTTTTAATTCAAACACACACATATTTTTTCTTTTTAAAATAAACATTTCGTTTACAAAACAAATCATGAATACCCGTCGTCCAGTTTCCCAAGATTATAAACCCATGATCCCTATCCAGAAAATCTGAGAAGTTAAAAAAAAAATATTAAAGTCACAGAGCATTTTTATGGAATTAAAAAATAAGATGCATTATTTATGATTATTATTATTTATCATCATAAAAATCAGAGACAAAAACTCACAAGATGATAAACAGATAAAGGCAAATAAATCTCAGTAAAGCGATAGCTGAAATCGGGAACTTCTTTTTTCCCAAAGAGGGGGGAAGAAACGGGTCAAACTATGTCTAAGAAGTAAGAAGGATAAGGCCTTCCTGTTTCAATTCAATTTGGCTCCATGACTCGCCTCTGCTCACTAGAAACTATAAAGTAGAAACCATCCTCGGCAATATTGTCGTTTTTGCACGGTGGTCCACTAGTCTTTTACCTTCTTCAACCCATTTAACCTCTGAAGCATCACCGTCACCGACATTGGAGCACACCCTGTGAATATGCCTGCACAATTTTTTTCCTTTCTCTTCCTTTTTATTAAACATTTTTTCTTCTTCGACAAAATCGGCATTTGTACTTTTTATAGAGACTCTCCCTTATGTTGTCGACAAAAAAAGCAACTTTACGGTCTCAGATTTCGTTTCTCCAATTTTTGGCTGTCGTAATTCGTCTTCCTTCTTGCTATTCAGTGGTGGTTGGGTGTGTTGGACGTTTCTGATGTCAGTGAAGGTGGCGATTTCGAAGGCGGCCAATCAATGGCGTCCGGCTTCCTCTCCTATCCTCCAGGGGCGTTGTGGGTTGCTGACAGCTTTGGTTCTGGTTGGAATGGTCGTGGTTTGGAGCATTGATGCCTGCACTGTCAACAGCTTCATTCATGCTTGGGGGTCTCGTCAAGATTTGCCCTCTGTGACTGCCAGGAACGCTTATAGGGATTATGGAAAACTTTACCATATCCCTAAAAGGCCTATAGTCAAGGGGCATTCAAGCTGGATTTCTAGTGAACTTGAGCCAAACTGACATCAAATCTTCTTGCTCGATGGTCAGGTCGTGGAGGAGAGCCTTGCGAATATTCGAAGACAGTGGAAATAGCAATTCCTAGCCTGGACGATGGGAAAGTAATAGAGCTTTTGGCTGGGGATGTTTATGAGTTTGTCTTTCAAGCATTGGATGATTCTGGAAATCCTCGGTGTTCTGGCGGGGATTACTTTGAGACTGATCTGTCGGGCGAATGGTGGAAATCTCGACCTACGATGAAGGATTTCAACAACGGATCCTACTCGATTTCACTTCAAGTTCATCCAGATTTTGATGGGGTTTACAATCTCACTATAATTCTGCTCTATAGACAGTTTGAAGGCCTGAAGATGACGCCACGGAGATTTGCTTATGATCAAGTGCTTCGCAAGTTTGCCATCAGATTCTACAGGAGTAGTGCTCAATTACCAGAACTAGAGACGTGCAAAAAATCAGACTTTACTAGGGATGTCTGGAGCGGAAGGTGGACAAGGCACGGTAAGAATGATGACTGTGAAATAAGTAATGATGGTAGGTACCGATGCCTAGAACCGGATTTTCCTTGCAAAACTCCATGGTGTAATGGTTCTTTGGGGATTCTGGAGAGCAATGGTTGGGTGTACTCAGCACACTGCTCATTCAAAATGTTTTCAGCTGATTCTGCTTGGAATTGCTTGAAGAATCGGTGGATTTTCTTCTGGGGCGATTCAAATCACGTTGACACCGTACGTAATTTGCTCAATTTCATTCTTGATTTGCCTCAAATACGTTCTGTCCCTAGGAGATTTGATATGAACTTTTCGAACCCAAAAGACCAGTCTCAAACAGTTAGGATTACGAGCATCTTCAATGGACATTGGAATGAGACACAAAACTATCTAGGATTGGAATCGCTGAGAGATGAAGGGTTTCAGAATTTGCTGAAGAAGTACTTCTCTGAAGATACAGTCCCAGACACCGTGATCATGAACTCTGGCTTGCACGATGGTGTTCGTTGCCGTACTGTGAGAGCATTTTCTGCTGAAGCAGAGAATGCAGCCTCATTTTGGGCAGATGTTATGAAGCAGGTGAGGCAAAGAGGATTGGTATGGCCAAAGGTCTTTTACAGGGCCACAGTTGCAACTGGTGGACACGCGAGAACACAAGTATTCAATCCTAACAAGATGGAGGTGTTCAATCATGTATTATTGGAGAAACTGAAGAAAGCTGGGGTTGTCTCTGGCGTGATTGATAACTTCGATATCACATTTCCATGGCATTTTGATAATCGATGCAGTGATGGGGTTCACTATGGAAGGCCTCCGGCGAAGATGAGGTGGCGAGATGGCCTCATAGGGCATCAATATTTTGTGGACGTCATGTTAGCTCATGTTCTGCTTAATGCTATGTGTGCAAGATAGGCATGAAGGTTTGAGTCATAAGAGATGGCCATTCCTTATTCTTTCCCTACGAGTTTGGATCCTTATGATTTATTAATTAGGCTTGGTATTCTTTCTTGTTCATAATCTTGTTAGCAAATTTTCTTCATACGTACGGTTGTTGCACTTGTAGATTAGCAGAGGTTTTTGAACTCTTTGGAACACATTATTACTATTTTTATTTATCATCAATGAAGTTCAAATGTTATTCTTCATTTGCACTTTGCACTTTGCATTTAGCAAATCTCTTACTGGTTGAAAACCAATAGGCTTAAAAGCTGAAGCATTTGACGCTCCATAGACAAAAAGGCTTGTGGTTGATTACTTGGGTTGAGAAGATAGGTTAGTTCTTTTCTGTTCTTGGTGGCAGGACATCACGTAGAATCTGTCCCTTTCAAACCGTTGCTTCAAGCAACCAAAATATTAAGTTTGGAGCTGAGAACTAGTGACTAAAAGTGAAAGTTTAAGTTCAAACCTGCTGGTATATTCAGCTTGTCTGAGACCGTTTCTGAAGTTTCTGGCAAGAATTCTGTGTGCCCCTTGATTTGACAGTTGGAGAATAAGGCAGTGACTGGACTGGGAAACTCGACCATCACTGATTGATGATCATTGCCAAAAAACTGTGAACGACGATGATCATCCTAATGCTCAGCAGTGAGCAATGGATCTCTAATAACAGAGGCATCCATCTTCACAATGTGGCATGAATCTTCCTTGTTTGCTATCATTCTAGTTTTTCCCCGTTTTAACGGCAAACTCTCAAGCCACTCCATGGGATGTTATCAACAGCTCCAGAGACTTGTGTAACTTTGTAGGTTCCTACAAGTTTCTTCCACTCAAACCATACCCAGTTTTTTTTTTTTTTTTGGCATCATTATCATTGGTGACGGAAAAGTATTACTTAAAGGAAGAGATAATTTGACAATTCTGGATAAACCGTGAAAAAGAGTTAATTAAAATATACATAAATCAGCTTCAGGACTTTCAAGACTACTGTTTACATTTGGTAAAATCACTTTCAAAATTCTTGAAAAAAAAAACTGAATTACTTTTTGTAAAAGGACTTTTTAAATGTTAAAAATCGAAAACCAAACGTGCCCTAAAACTATCTTGTTACGAGATATGGATGTTTTTATAGGATTGCAGAACAGAACTCGTTGACTCTTGACTACGAATGGTTTAAATGATTCTTGACTTTATCTTGGACCCGACTCAATGGGAACTTGATGATTTTCATAAAATGGTTGACATTACCAAAAAATAAATAAATTAGTCCAAAACGTGGCGACGTAAGCTTGGGATCGGAAGTTCCATGATCTTATCTTATACATAATAAAATATAAAAAATTCCCTGTTTATGAAACAGTTAAATTAATACTACCATGGGATTCACCGCTGTCTTTTTTTTAAAAAAAAAAACAACTATGCTTATATTTTTTTATTTTTTAAAAAAATCAAACAAGGTTTGACACCATATTAAAAAAATTTAATATTTAAAAATTATTTTATATTATAGTTTCATGATATCACATTGACATATTTTATATTTATACAATTTTTAAATTATCTTTTATTTTTTTAACAAGCAATAAGTTTTGGAAATGAAATAATGTGTCTACATTTTTAGTATACACAAATGTGAAAAATATTATAAAAAATAACAAGTTTTTGTACTGTTTACAAGTATTCACCCATTAAAGATGATTCTATTCAAAACACAATTAAGTATCAAATGTAAGCACCTTTCCAACAAAAATTTAAACATTAATTTATTATATTGTTGAAGGATTAACACCTTCTACTATAGCCAATCCTATCTATAAAAATAACAAATTATTATTAAAATAACTTATCACGTGTCTTATAACATTTCAAAATTTAATTTTAAGATTAATTAAATTAATTGAAAAAATAAGAGTTTTTAAGTATTTAAGTAAGTTTAAGGACTTAATTAAGAATATATGTGTTTTGAGGATTTAATTTAGAAATTTTGTAAAATTGAGGTATTAATTGAGAAATTATGTATGATTGAGGTTAATTTATTGTTCAAGCACTTTATCATTAAAATTAAACCTAGGATCATATATAAGAGTTACTTGGTGTCCAAATTAAATTTTGGACTAGATTTGGATTTAAAGTATTGGGCTCAAATTATCCGTGCATTGTGTAGTTTAGTGTGGTAATAAAATATAAAAATTTCACTGTTTATGAAACAGTAAAATTAATAGTACCGTGGGATTCACTGCTATCTTAAAAAAACAAAAAAAAAACAATTGTTCCTTTTTTTCAATTTTTTGTTATGCCTATGTTTTTTTATTTTGTTAAAAAAAAACAAACAAGGTTTGACATCATATTTAAAAATTATTTTTATATTATATTTTCATGATATCATGTTAACATATTTTATATACTTATAAAAATTTTAAATTATCTCCTTTTTTTACAAGCAATAAGTTCAGAAATAAAATAACATTTTTAGTATACCCAAATGCAAAAAATATTATAAAAAATAACAAGTTTTTGTATTGTTCACGAATATTCACCCATCAAAGGCAATCTGATTTGAGATATAATTGATTATCAAATGTGAGCACCTTCACAACAAAAATTTAAACTTTAGTTCGTTACATTATTAAAAAATTAACCCTTTCTACAATATCCAACCTGCATTTGTAAAAAAATAACAAACTATTATTAAATAACTTATCATGCATTGTGTGACATCTCAAAATTTAATTTAAGAATTAATTAAATTAATTAAAAAATAAAAGTACTTAAGTATTTAAATGAGTTTAAGAACTTAATTAAGGAGATATGTGTATTGAGGATTTAACTGAGAAATTTTTTAAAGTGAAGTGTTAATTGAGAAATCATGTATGATTAAGGTCAATTAGTTGTTCGCACATTTATTTATTATTAAAATTGGGCTTATGATTATGTATGAGGGCTATGTGGAGTCCAAATTAGATTTTAGGTTAGATTTGAGCTCAAAATATTTGGCTTAAGTGAAAATTCATGAATGATTTAGTTTGCCATGGCGAATAGCAAAAAATTATACTTAAAGGTGTTTGCAAAACAAATGTGAGAGAGAGTGTTTTGGCGATTTTCTTCAACTTTGTTAGGGTTTCAACTTTTCCATAACTAGGGCGTGGGTTCTAACTCATAATCACTCAAGGTAACACTTCTAACTCATCTCCCACCTAATATCCTTTCTAAGCAAGTTTTGGTAGTGATTAAAGTCAGGGTTCAAATTTAAAACAACTCCAGCCATGGGTTTCAAATTTTATGGATTGTTTGAAGTTAAATAAATGTTATTTAGGTTATTTTTGGTGATAATTATCATAAGGGGGTGCTTGAATTCAAAATCTAGAGTTGTTTTAGATTAGATCAAATTCATAACAATGATTTAGAGTTAACTATAATGGTAAATAAGTAAGTTTAAACTAATAAGATTAGCTAACAATATTTATTAAGTTTAATGAATGTCAAATAAGTTATTGGGAGTAAGTTTTGGGTTATTTCTACTTTATCACTCTTAACAAGGGTTTGAGGCCTTAACTGTGATTAAGGTTAATTAATGACGACTAGTCATTGATACTGTCTATTAATTATTAATTGTAAATTCACTTCTTTAGAACTCATTAGCTTGTTGAGAAGCTTTTTTGGAATCTAACTTATACTTTTAAGGTGTGATGTGTACTAGTTGCTTAGCACTTAAATTAAACCAAGAAACATCATAAAGAGTACAAGTTGCAACCTATGTCAATTCTCTCATGGAATTGATAAAAATTAAACCCTAAGTTGTTTAAATCTATCAAGAACAATAACAATTTAATTGAATTTAATTGATTAATAATTTAATTAACCACAATAGTTAACTATAAACCACTTTTTTTGGTATTTTCTAAAAAACTGGACAATTTTGAAAAATGGATTGGTTTGTGATTAAAATGTAAATTAATGGTTTTTCTAGGTATATGAACTCCTTCTCTTATCCTTGCTAAATAATTCCCTCTTTACTCAAATTGGTTTTAAAAATACCTTAATACCACTAGAAATTTAGCATTCTTAAATTTTTTAGATTAACTATGACCCTACATTACCCTTAGAACTAATTATGCTCAAAGAACGCTAATTGATCATGAAGTTGATTGCTAATTCTAACCCTTTCCTTAATCAAATGAGACCTCAGGTGATTAAAAAACATAATTACCTAGCCACAAGCATGCTTAATATAAAACCATGACTCACAAACTTACAAGCAGCGACTGGAAATTAAATGTGACAAAGGATTGAATAAAATTAAATTTGGACAGGCCCTAAATTCAAAATTATAGCACCTCAATTAGAAAATAAATAACATAATAATCTCATATAATACTTAATTAAATATTAAAAAGTTTAATTCCAACAACCATTATCACTATAATGTTGTAAGCATTAAAATTGAATGAATTAAAAAAGATGTAAGAGATAAGAGAAACTCTCAAAATTCAAGAGCTCAAGTAGAGTTCATCCACACATCCTAAGAAGAGAAGACAAGCCTAGCCATGCCTCGTTTGGACCTCCATAGCTCCTTCTTGAAGACCATTAACCACCATGGAGGAACACTTGAAGAATTGCCTAGATGAAAATGGAAGGGAATAGATTATTTAATTTATGGGTTTTATTTTGGTCTTAAAGGGGAGTTAAACGGTGTATTTGGATGGTAAAATTGAGGGTTTTAAGGTTGAAAAATGGTGGAAGAGTTTTAGGATTCATGGGCGTTATTAAGAGAAAAGATGAAGATGAATGGAGATGAAAGATGATAGAAATTTAGCCAAGAGGTATGTGTGATGTAATATCCTCCTCTTTTTATCCCACAATTAAAACCTAAATCTCAAGTAATTAGGAAAATAAGACGATAGTAATCATTAAATATAAAATTTTTATTGGTTAACAAAATGAGGACCCTAAGATTATAAATTTAAAGTCAAATCAAGTCTTGCAAAGAGGCAAAACAAAGTTCGTAAATACGCGGAAGCAAGGGATTATCACATAAGTGGTTATATCGATGCAAAAATATAGAATAAGAAAAATTTTAAAAATTTTAAAAGTGTGCACCGCGGCTCTTGACGTCATGTACTGCAGCACAAATGCACGAATTTTGACATTGAGTTTTGATGTCAATTTGACAGCTTTATGGCCAATTTCTGATGAGTCCCAAATCTCAGTC